AAATCTATGAACCTAAACTTCAAGAATTTGATGACTTTGATGATAGTGTGAACACCTCCTTAGTAGTATTCAGACTTTTCCTATGAATTTAGGTATTATACCCTTTGTTCCCAATACCTCTATGTCAAGTGTTGTATGTCCTACCCTTAACCAACCCAAAGGTGCTATTGATTTATGTAATTGTGCCATTTTCAAGGAAAGTCTTGGGAATCAGGATTTGATCCTCCCAACAGCTCAACTTACATATACAATTATGTGATTCAATCTATAAGTATGAGTCCCTTTGAAATTATTCATGGTTATGAGCCTATGAAGCATTTGGACCTTATTCACATGTCCTCACATGCTAGTGTGTCGATGTCAGCTGAAGCATTTGTACATCATCTTCATGATTTGCATATTGACATCAATAAACGACTTAAAGCAAGTAATGCATTACGTAAACTTCAAGATGATTTGCATAAACGACATTTTGGATTTAATATTGGGGATTATGTTATATTGCAAGCCCGTAGTGCTGGTCATCTTAAAATTTTAAAGCATGTTGGTCCAAAGCACATGTCATTGATCTTTTAGCACATTTTGGCTACTACTTTACTTTAAATATTGAGGACTTCATTATTTACAAACACCGTTTCAATTCCTTTGATGATCCTTTTCTATTTAACTCTGTGGATTCCCAACCTGTCTATGTTGATATTTTTACTTCCATAGCCTCTGTCACAGCACACAAAGATACAATTGATGTTATTTTAGATGAACAGATTGTGTTGACCAATGATGGAGAGATTTGGTGTTTCCTTGCTCGTTGGATAGTTCCACCTGATGCAGACCGTACATGGCGTCCTATAGAGAAGCTCCAACAAATCTGGATTACACTGCTGGAGTTTCGATATTTGGTTCTTACGAAAGATCGTCCCCCGTGGCAGAAGTTTATCCACTCGACAAGGTCGAGTTTTCTCCCATCCCGAGAGAGTTGATGCGGACATCAATCATCGAGATTTAGTTTTTATTGTTATTGGACCTTATTAGTTATGTTTTCTATTATTGAACTTGTAATAGTGAGTTGACACAAGGCCGTCACTTGACTAGGTTTTTACTGTTTAAGGATTTTTTTCATTGTAGTTGGATTAGTTGATGAATTGATAAAAATTGGTTTGGCTTGCAGCCCTTTCCCCTTCCTTCTCCTTCTCCCCTTCTTTTCAGTTCTTCTTCTGCATCTACTCTGCTTCTTCTACTAACCACTCACTCTATGTTGCATCATAATTCGGTTATATGTTGAATGCTTCCTATTCGTCCTACATCAGAGACACTCAGACACTGGAAAAGCACGTGTTCAAGGCGAATTTTCCCGGTCTTTAGAAAGAGGAAGTAAAGGTGGAAGGTGAGGAAGGTAACAGTCTTCAGATTAGTGGAGAGAGGAGCAGGGAGAAGAGGTGAAGAATGATACGTGGCATCGCATTGAGAGGAGTTCCTGCAGATTCCACGCCGGTTTAGGCTGCTGGAGAACTCCAAAATGGATCAGATTACGGCCAGCATGGAGAATGATTTGTTGACTGTAACTGGGCCCAAAGAGGAGGTGGATGTCAAGGCCATAGAGGTTTCTTGCTAACCTAGATGAATGATTGTGGTATGGTTTACCAGCAAGAGAGCCTGTTGGGTAGCATTTCCAACGCTTTGTACAAATGAACAAATATAACAAAATTTGAATCCGATTCATTTCTAATAGTAGCTCAAATAAGCTGTGTTTCATTTTACAAATCAGTCAAGAAACTATATCACAGTACTATACTACCCCATTTTCTGCACCAGTATAACTTAAATCAGTTCTGTAACCTTAAGAAGAGGGTTGATATGAATGTGTTTCTCTACAAAAATGCCTATTCATCCATAGAAGAAAATATGCTTATATTTTCCAGTCAATATCGTGTCCCATTTTCCTTGATCATGGGCTCGTTAATACGTCCCTATGCCTACACTGTACATTATCAGGAACAAGAGCTTCCACAGAAATTTCTACACTGGCAGTAATATTGGCAGTCCCTCCGCTTGCCTCAGTTACTCGAGGAGAACTATCTGGTGAATCTCCTGGACTCTCTCCTAATTTCTCTGTATGAGGTTGAGGACGCTCTTCTTTTTTCTTCTTTGCATGCTTATGCCATTTCATTAATGCCTTAGAAGTATGTTCGTCGAAGATGGACCTCTTCATATTTGATCCCATCTGAAAATTCCAAGTAATGACCCAAGAAAGTAAAATGACTCAAGTGAACAAGCAGTATGACAACGTGAAAACCCGACTTCTTAAATCTTGGTCTTTTAACCGACAAAACTAGCTCGAAAGAGTGAATATATGGATCACGATGAGTAGGTTACCTGTGTAACGAGTGCATAAAGTGGGAGTGTAATGTAGCTGCACAAAACTTGTACTCCTAACCTGCCCAAGAATACATTTCCATCAACTTCAAATCCGAATGGCCTATTTGAATAAATCGTTGGTAATTCAAAATCAGAACAAAACAACACATTTGTGTACTTAAAACTTACCCGAGAACAACTCTAAATATGGAAAGATAAAAATTCTCGTGAAAGCAAGAATGCATCCCAAATTCGTACTGCATCAGGAAACATTGTTTCAACCACTGGGAATTGATGCATATACAATTGCAAATAAGACAGAGAAAATTGTTTGATTACCGATATCCAAATGAAATTTGTGATCTCAAATGCATTCTGGACATTAATGAAGGAAAAAAAGAGCCTATTAGAATATTTCCATATGGAAAAAAAAAATTAAACCTCAACCGAAAGTAGATAAGTTACTTGACCTGAAAGAGAGTAAGATGGATAAGATGAAGAACCAACTTAGGCCAACTAAACCAAAAATGACTGTCGGAAACTTGCACAAGAGGTATGCCTTGGACTACAGCATGTCTTTCTTGGATTTCAACAGCCATCTGTGTTATGATCGCTTGAAGTTTTGTCCCAACTGCTAAAATTATCTATAACCAATCAATTCATTAGTTATTCCCATATTTAAAATGACGGAAGAATGCAAAAAATGTTACAACAGATAGTCTTACAACTAGGGGCATTATAGATAGCCAGAACATAGATTGCCACCCTGAAATTAAGCCGATTGATGAATACAGGAGAAGTATTTTTACTTCATTCACATACATAAACACAATTTAAAAATAGCTTAAAGAGAGAATGAAACGTACCATGAACATTAAGCAGCATATAGACAACAGCTGACATCCATAATACTGTACTGAAAATAGCACCAAGGTATTATGTAAGAAGGTAACACATAACATGCTGCATTTTTTTCGTTTAGGAAACAATCAATGTAGAAAAGGAAATATCATACTTGATTCCTACAATAATTTTGAAGTCATCTTCCAGTGACCTTTTAATATATTTCTGAAAATCAAACTTGCTTCCAGGAGCTAAATGGACCTGTTAAAGAATTTCAATAAACTCAATGGAACATCCCATTTTCTGATTAAATATCTAATATAAAAATTAATAGTCGTGTTAAGAAATTACAGAGATGAATCCATGGCGCATCGTCAAGTAGTCAGCTTTACGAACGGACCTAAAGAATTGACGATAAAAACAAACCTGCAATGGTTGAACTAATTAATCCTGAAACCGAGCTATAAATACAGTCTCGAAGAAAAATGGAATTTCATTATCCAAATAGTCTTAGAAACTCCAGAAATGCCTTAAAAACATCACAAAACAAAACAATATATTATGATGAAATCAATCGAGCACCATAAACTATAGTCGTTATTCTTACAGTATAAAACAGGATTGGGTTTCTTGTCCAGAAACTGGTGTGGTCTCTCACGAAAGATGTCTCGTGCGTTAGCCTGAATCTAGAAGGATCTGCATGATACCGAAAGATACAAACATTTATATATAAACAACTCAGTGACCTCCAGGATGAAAGGTGAGCATATCTTCAAATAAAAAAGTTCATTTTTTTTTTCACATTTTTCACAGCGAGTCTACAAAATACCATTGGACACTTCGTACTCATTGACAGTCTGTCGTTCCCATTCTTTCCATCCACGAATCTGCACGAATCATTTTACAAAGAAAAGGACCAAAATACAAATTATTCCAAATAAATTGAACTAGATTATAATGCCAACAGACGAGGTAAGACCGCCCATGATTAGGAAAGAAACCATGGTTGAATATATAAAAATTTGAAGACTGATCCGACTCTTCAATTAAAACGGGATTAAATGAGCATATATTACAACAAAGAAACCAATAGACCTCACCTTCAATCTTCCAAGCGTCATTGTTATAGCACTGTAAATGACATGGAATACGGCCAAAAAGAATATGAAGATGTGTAGTTGATGTATTCCATTGATTGACATAAGTGCCACATATCCCTGTTACAAAAAATACAATTTTTCGCAATGAACTAAGAATATAAGCTTCGAATGATGAATATTCACAACAGAAATAGCAACATGCATGAAAGCAATAAGCTTACATAGTCACACGTGTGTGTGCAATGCAAATACGAGATTGGAATTAGTGATTCTTACTTTCTTGCAACCTTGGGGTGGACTATCACCAGACAACACTCTATGCTCGTACCATAGGAGCCTACGGTGATGTTCTGCCTCGGCCCCAGAAGCACTCTTGTGCTCCTCTTTACTGGCCGAACGGTTAGGACATGGCAACATAGTATACCCAATTTTTTCAGGAATACAGATTTTGGAAATGTAGTTTTGTCCAAATGTCAAAATAAGGGAAATGAAGCCTAAAACCATTAGCTCTGAAAACAGTAAGTTACATAGAAAAAGTGAGTCATAAAGCAAAATAAATGACTCTAAAACACAAACAGAAAACACAAGAGTAAAACAATGTTGGACCTCTTACCCCCTTTAATTTTCTCAAGAGCTTCAAACAACGCTTTCTTCTTTCTTCTTTCAAATGTCTAAAAATTAAAGCATCATTAGACGGAAGAGTAAGGAATAAGAGAAATATACAAATCGAATGCATAGTTCCAAATTCTTCTACCACACAGGCTCATAAAATAATATTTCAACTTATTTCTTTTCATTGATAGTACAGTGGCAACAATGTTGAAATTCTTTGCAAATTAACGTATTTACAATTCAATCCCTCCTAACTTATGAAATTTTGACTTCGGAAAATGGACGTAAGCACACGTAACACAAGAATCCATCATCGTCCTGTATATTTTCCTTGCATTTTGCTGATCAAACATCCCAAAAAAGCTGCTTCGACTAAATTTTTCCCATTTTATTCCGGTAAAAAATCCCACATTTCCAATCAGTGTCAATCACGTCCAGCGAAATCAATTAGAAAATAATTGTTTCATTCTACATAAAAAAAAAAAAAAAAAAA